TATTGCTGTGTTGTTTTTATTGATGTATTTGGGCTCGGCCTCTTGTAAGCCGCACCGAGTCCTCCGGGAGATGGTAACGGGGTATAAATAAAGGTTTATTATTATTATTATTATTATTATTATTATTATTATTATTATTATTATTTTATCCAATATTCCATCTTATCTGACACCCCCTTTTCAATTCAGTCTTATCTGACACCCCCTTGTCAATTCCATCTTATCTGATACCCCCCATTTCCCTTTCAATTCAAGGACCACTCCTCAATTCTCTCTCCATTCCTAAAAAAAGGCAGCCCCAATCAGGGCCGGCCCTAGGTAATGTTCAAGTGTAAGCAAACAGTATTTTGGCACCCCCCCCCCCCAGAACCAATCACTGAAAAAATTATATTATTATTATATTATCAGGACATATTATATGTACAGTAGAGTCTCGCTTATCCGACCTTCGCTTATCTGTCATTTAGTCTTATCCAACATTCCGTCTTATCTGACACCCCCTTTTCAATTCCATTTTATCTGACACCCCCACCCCAATTTCACCTTTAATTCAAGGAGCGCTCCCCAATTCTCTCTCCATTCCTAAAAAAGGCAGCCCTGAGCAGGGCCGGCCCTAGGTAATGTTCAAGTGTAAGCAAGGTTTATAATAATAATAATAATAATAATAATAATAGATAAAATTTGAGAAATGAATTGTGTATCAAGGTTGGTTTTTATCAGTTATTTATATGGTTCACAGTGGTCTCAGGAAGTTAGTGAAGGTACTTCAAGTCCCATAATCTGTGGTCCATCTTCCTCCAAACTGCACCAGGATGTAAAGTAGGTCATGAGGGCTCTGTGTGCCAAGTTTGGTCTTGATCAGTCATTGGATGAGGGTCGCAGTGGTCTCTGAAAGTGAGTGAAGGTACTGCAAGTCCCATCATCCATGGTCCCTCCTCCTCCAAACTGCACCAGGATGTAGAATGGGTCATGGGGGCTCTGTTTGCCAAGTTTGGTCTTGATCAGTCATTGGATGAAGGTCGCAGCGGTCTCAAGGAGTGGTTGAAGGTACTTCAAGTCCCATCATCCATGGTTGATCCTCACCAGGATGTAGAGTGGGTCATGGGGGCTCTGTTTGCCAAGTTTGGTCTTGATCAGTCATTGGATGAAGATTGCAGCGGTCTCGAAGATTGCAGCGGTCTCGAGTCCCATCATCCATGGTTGGTCCTCACCAGGATGTAGATCATGAGGGCTGTGTTTGCCAAGTTTGGTCTTGATCAGTCATTGGATGAAGGTCGCAGCGGTCTCAAGGAGTGGTTGAAGGTACTTCAAGTCCCATCATCCATGGTCGGTCCTCACCAGGATGTAGAGTGGGTCATGGGGGCTCTGTGTGCCAAGTTTGGTCTTGATCAGTCATTGGATGAAGGTCGCACCAGTCTCGAGGCGTGGTTGAAGGTACTTCAAGTCCCATCATCCATGGTCAGTCCTCACCAGGATGTAGAGTGGGTCATGGGGGCTCTGTGTGCCAAGTTTGGTCTTGATCTGTCATTCGTGGGGGCCACAGTGGCGTGTGGGAGCCAAAGTGTTTGAAAGTATTACAAATCCCATAATCCGTGGTCCACTTCCCCCAAAACGCACCAGGACGTAAAGGGAGTCATGGGGGTTATGTGTACCGAGTTTGGTCCAGGTCCGTCACCTGTGCAGGTCACAGTGGCCTGTGAAAGTGGCAGCTAATCAGAAAGCTGCCACATACACCACCCTCCCTCCCTCCACATACAAACACTGACTTCTATTATATACATAGATAGATAGATATTACATGTAATATATAATATCCCAATTATTGGATGTTTTGGAGCCCAAAATCTGCCCCCGTGATGTCATGGGGAGTCTTATAGCCTTATTGACACAACAAGGATGCTGTTACAAAGGGTGACATTTTGCAGACGGAAACTCCCCGCTCTGCGCCCGTCCTAATGGGCAGCCAGCTTTTACCTCCTCTTTGAACATCCATAAAATTGGCCGAGATGAACTCGAGTGATAAAATCCACATTCTGGGCAAGTGGCTGATGACTTAAATTAGTAAAGAAAGGAAAGGCATTATTGCTAATGAATAGGGATGGGAGGAGAGGAGATCTCGGCAGGCGGATGGACGAGACATTGCATGGCTTTCCCACAAATACGGGACAGAGTCGGCATTGCTCGCCTTGGTGGATGATCTACGTAGATGACGCCCAACTCGCAGCCTGGGGGTCCTCCTGGACTCACTGCTGATCCTGGAGGCCCGGTGTTGGTGGTGGCAGCTACACCTTGAAAAGCCCCATCTGGCCATGATAGGACACACCTTAGTCCAAGTATGGGCAAACTGAGGCCCGTGGGCCGGATGTAGCCCGTTTGGGTCTTTTCTCAGGCCCTCCTCTCTGTCACCACCCTATCCTTTCTTCCTTCCTTCTCTGTTTCCTTCCTTCTTTCCTCCCTCCCTTCCCTCTCTCTTTACTTCTCCACCTTTTGTCCTTTGTTCCTTCCCTTTTTCCTCTCACCTTCCCCCTCTCTCTTTCTCTTTCCTTCCTTTCTTTCATCCCTTTTGCCTTTCCTTCATTCTCTTTTTCCTCCCTCCCTCCATTCCCTTCCAACCTTTCTTCTTTCCATCCTTCCCCTCCTCCCTTTCATAGTTCCTTATTTCCTTCCCTCCCTTTTATATTCCTTCTCTCTTTCCTTCCTTTCCTCCCTCTTTCTCCTTCCTTCCTTCCTTCCTTCCTTCCTTCCTTCCTTCCTTCCTTCCTTCTTCCCTCCCTCCTTCCTTCCTTTTCTTTCCCTTTTCCTTCCTCCTTCATTCTCTCCCTCTTTCTCCTTCCTTCCTTCTTCCTTCCTTCCTTCCTTCCTTCCTCCTTTCATTTTATTTCCCACAAATAAATTATTTTCATTAATACTTCATAACTTTCCTCTTTCTACTTACTTACTTAATTAATTACTTCATTATTACAATTCATTAATTACTAATTCTTACTTACATTCTTCACTATGTTTTTCTTCATCCTTGCCTTCCTTAATTAAATCCCATCTCCTCTTTTTTCCACATCCAACATTCTGTCCTTTGTTAATTTCACTTTTTCACTATCATCATTCACCTAATCTCTTCTATTTATTTAATTCACTTTCGTCCCTTTTGAATTTCCTTCTCTAATTCCTCCCTTCCTCCCTCCCTCCCCTTTCACCCTTCCTTCAATCCTCCCCTCCACCCTTTTGTCCTTCCTTATTTCCTTCCCTCCCTTTTATCTTTAATTCCTTCTCTCTTTCCTTCTTTACCTCCCTCTTTTTCCTTCCACCCTTTTGTCCTTTCTTCCCTTTCCTTTCTCCTTCCATCTCTCCCACTGTCTCCTTCCTTCCTGCCCTCTTTCCCTCTTCCTCCCTTCCTCCCTTTTTTCCTTCCTTCTTTCCTTTCTTTCCCCTTCTTTCCTTCCTCCTTCATTCCCTCCCTCCCACCTTCTCCTTCCTTCCTTCCTTCCATCCATCTCTCTCTTTCTCCTTCCTTCCTTCCCACTTCCATCTCTCCCTCTTTCTCCTTCCTTCCTTCCTTCCTTCCTTCCTTCCTTCCTTCCTTCCTTCCTTCCTTCCTTCCTTCCCTCCCTTCTTCCCTCCTTCCTTCCTTCCCTCCTTCCTTCCTTCCCTCCCTCCTTCCCTCCTTCCTTCTCCATCCATCTCTCCCTTTCTCCTTCCTTCCTTCCCTCTTCCCACATCCATTTCTCCCTCTTTCTCCTTCCTTCCTTCCCTCCCTTCTTTCCTTACTTTCCTCCCTCTTTCCTTCCTCCTTCAATCTCTCCCTCCTTCTCCTTCCTTCCTTCCCTCCCTTCTTTTCTTTCTTTCCTCCCTCTTTCCTTCCTCCTTCATTCTCTCCCTCCTCCTTCCTTCCTTCCTTCCTCCTTCCTTCCTTCCTCCTTCCTTCCTTCCTTCCTCTTTCTCTCCTTCCTTCCCTTCCTTCCTCTTCCTTTCTCTCTTCCTTCCTTTCCTTCCTTCCTCTCTCCTCTTCTCCTTTTTTTTCCTTCCTTCCTTCCTCCTCCCTCTTCCCTTCCCTTCCTCCTCCCTCTTCTCCTCCTTCCTTCCTTCCTTCCCTTCCATCCTTCCTTCCTTCCTTCCTTCTTCCTTCCTTCCCTCTTTCCTCCCTCCTTCCATCTCTCCTCCTTCCTTCCTTCCCTTTCCTCCCTCCTTCCTCCCTCCTCTTTCTCCTTTCCTTTCCCTTCTTTCCTTCCCTCCCCCTTTTCCTTTCCTTCTTTCCTCTTTCCCCTCCTTCTCCTTGCTTCTTTCCTTCCTCCTTCCATCTCTCCCTCTTTCTCCTTTTTTCTTCCCTCCTTCAATCCCCGTGGGTGAGGTTAACTGAGAGTCAACTGTATTCTAGTGAGAGGTGATTTGGGATCTGTAGTCCTCCCAAAGCAACCTCCCCAAACCCTGATGTTCCAACTAAAGGGAAGTTGTAATGCCCACTTTTCTGAGCTGGGAGACCGAATCCCAAGCTTCTCAAGACCAAAACTGGCACCGAAACGGTACGAAAACGAGCTTTGTTGTGGAACAATGGAGGCCGCAGGTGTTTCGTAGCAGAGGAAAACAAACATCTTTCTTCCCAGATGGGTCTCAAAGCCCATCGTTCATCCCATTGGCACAGAACTTGGCTCTTATTTGGTCAAGAACAAGGTAAAGTATGGCTTGAAGCCAAAGACTTGACTTGTGAAGATTGACAGCAAACAAGACGTTCAGAGAGGGCAGGGGAACACAAGGAAGAAAAGAAAGAAAGAAAGAAAGAAGGAAAGAAAGAGAAAGACGTGTATGTATGCTCTCACGTTGCATTGACCTGGGCAAAGTGGTGCACATATGTGTTGCTTGTATGCCCCCCCCCCCACCGAAGGGATCCTCATGGTCTCAAGGGCCTTAGCGTGTCTGGAGCTGGGCTTTGGGTGCAAGGACCCGAGGGCCCCCTCCCCTCCCCTCTGACTCTCTTCCCGGGGCTGAGAAGACGGAAAAGGACCCACCGGTACTCGGCTCGCACTCCTCCAGGTCTTCGTCATCGCTGGGGCACTCGGCCGAAGCTACGAGGAGGTCATCTGTGTTCTGGGAAGAAAGAAACAAAGCACGTCATCACATTAGGGTGCGGACCTTGGGAAACTATAACTCTCAGGAACACATAGTATGGAGCTACGGTATTAAAAGTGGGGTCCAAGAACATTCATTCCATACTGTAAATGCATCAAGAGAAGAGTATGGGCTTTGGGAAACTATAACTCCCAGGAGGACTGCGTTGCACAGAGCCATGGCATTTCAAGTGGGGTGAAAGGGCATTCATTCCAACAGAGAGGTATGGGCCTTGGGAAACTATAACTCCCAGGAGGACTCCATTGCACGGAGCCATGGCATTTCAAGTGAGGGTGCAAGGGCATTCATTCCAAAAGAGAAGTATGGGCCTTGGAAAACTATAACTCCCAGGAGGACTCCACTGCATGGAGCCATGGCATTTCAAGTGGGGTGCAAGGGCATTCATTCCAACAGAGAAGTATGGGCCTTGGGAAACTATAACTCCCAGGAGGACTCCACTGCACGGAGCCATGGCATTTCAAGTGGGGTGCAAGGGCATTCATTCCAACAGAGAAGTATGGGCCTTGGGAAACTATCACTCCCAGGACGACTCCATTGCACGGAGCCATGGCATTTCAAGTGGGGTGCAAGGGCATTTATTCCACAGTGTAAATGCACCAACAGAGAGGTTTGGGCCTTGGGAAACTATAACTCCCAGGAGGACTCCATTGCACAGAGCCATGGCATTTCAAGTGGGGTGCAAGGGCATTCATTCCATAGTGTAAATGCACCAACAGAGGGGTATGGACCTTGGCAAACTATATCTCCCAGGAAGACTCCATCACCTGGAGCAACAGCATTTAAAGTGGGTGTAATTGCACCAGCAGAGGGGTATGGACCTTGGGAAACTATGACTCCCAGGACTGCACAGCATGGAGACATGGCAAAATAATAATAATAATAATAATAATAATAATAATAATAATAATACAGTAATGGCATTTAAAATGGGTACCGACTGCATTTATTCTCCAGTGTAAATGCACCAAGAGAAGGGTGTGGACCTTGAGGAACTATAACTCCCAGGAGGACATCACATGGAGCCATGGCATTTAAAGTAGGGAGGAAGAGCATTCATTCCATACTGTAAATGCACCAGCAGAGGGGTATGGACCTTGGGAAACTATGACTCCCAGGACTGCACAGCATGGAGACGTGGCAAAATAATAATAATAATAATAATAATAATAATAATAATAATAATAATAATAATACAGTAATGGTATTTAAAATGGGTACCGACTGCATTTCTTCCCCAGTGTAAATGTACCAAGGGAAGTGTGTGGACCTTGGGAAACCGTAACTCTCAGGACCGCTATGGGATTTAAAGTGGGGTTCAAGAGCAGTCATTCCCTATTGTAAATGCACCAAGAGAAGGGTATGGACCTTGGGAAACTATAACTCCCAAGATCATGTAGTATGGAGCTATGGTATTTAAAGTGGGGCCCATGAGCAGTCATTCCATAGTGTAAATGCATCAAGAGAAGTGTGTGGCCCTTGGGAAACTATAACTCTCAGGACCGCTATGGTATTTAAAGTGGGGTTCAAGAGCAGTCATTCCATAGTGTAAATGCACCAAGAGAACGGTATGGACCTTGGGAAACTATAACTCCCAAAATTGCATAGTATGGAGCTATGATGTTTAAAGTGGGGTCCATGAGCCATCATTCCATAGTGTAAATGCAACAAGAGAAAGGTATGGACCTTGGGAAACTATATCTCCCAGGAGGACTCCACCGCGTGGAGCTATGGCATCTAAAATGAGGTGCCAGGGCATTCATTCTGTACTGTAAATGCACCAAACAGGTTGCAGGTTCGAATTTGGGGAGCGAGGTGAGCTCCCACTGTTAGCCCCAGCTTCTGCCAACCCAGCAGTTCAAAAACATGCAAATGTGAGTAGATCAATAGGTACTACTCTGTGGAAGGTAACGGCACTCCATGCAGTCATGCTGGCCACATGACCCTGGAGGTGTCTATGGACAAAGCCGGCTGAAAGCTTAGAAATGGAGATGAGCACTAATCCTCAGAGTCGGACACGACTTAATGTCAAGTGGATAATTAGAGATCCCTAGCCAAGGAGTGCTGTGTGACGGGATGTTGCTTCTGTGTTAATTCCCTATTTTTTTTTCCACCTGAGAGCATTGTGGGAGATTCTCTGGGCCATCTGGCAATGCTTGGACAGCTTGCCCGCCGTGGCGCGCTGACAGAAGCGTGGCCTCAAGAGAAAGCATGTTGCGAGCATTTACTCGGAGACTAAGCCAGGCCAAGAGACTGTTTTTGCCTTGCCGACGTAGCACCGAGCATGGCTGTGGAGCATCAGAGGCCGAACCTGGGCATGCAAATCCCAGGCTGGCCGGAGACGCCCGCCTGCCTTTCCCACTCGATGTGGAAAAGCTCATTTTGGGCCGGCAGCCGAATCTTCCTTTTCACGCTGGCAGAGGCATTGTAGGCTGTTCCAGGCTGGTCAAAAGAGACGAGTCTCTTCGCGGCGGAGCTCTTTTGTTTTTGCCAGTGACTGCCAGTTCTTGTCACCTCCGCATCCATGCATTGCTGTCAGCGGGCTCCTTTCTTGCCATTTTGCGGCGTCCCTTTGTTGAGACGGAGACGGCTCAGATCCTCACTCAAAGGTGTCTCTCCTTTAATGGGATGCGCGTTGTTTGCGGAGGTCAGAGTGCGCGCCTGTGTTTCGCTCAGAAGAAAAACAACATCCTTCTTTGCATTTCGGTGCAAAAATGCTCTATTACTATTTCAAGGAGGCACTAAGATCCCATCATTCTAAACAAGGGGGAGAGAGGGATGAAAGAATTGCCTTTGCTTTTCTTCTCATCTGCTTTTAAAACCCTCCAGTGTGCAAATACTGTCCACCTGGATCCCATTTTGGGAGGAAAGCGGGATATAAATTCAATATATAGGGCCGGTGCAGCAGATTAAACCGCCAGCTGCAGTGCAGCAGATTAAACCGCCAGCTGCAGAAAATCTTGCCGATCAAAAGGTTCTTGCCGATCAAAATCTTGCAGAAAATCTTGCCAATCGAAACGTTCTTGCCAACCGACGATTGAAAGGTTTTTGACGATCGAACTCTTGCAGAAAATCTTGCCAATCAAAAAGTTCTTGCCGATCAAAATCTTGCAGGAAATCTTGCCGATCAAAAGGTTCTTGCCGATCGAAATCTTGCAGAAAATCTTGCCATTCAAAATGTTCTTGCCAATCGATGATTGAAAGGTTTTTGACGATTGAAATCTTGCAGAAAATCTTGCCCATCAAAAAGTTCTTGCCAATCAAAATCTTGCAGAAAATTTTGCTGATCCAAAAGGTTCTTGCCGATCAAAATCTTGCAGAAAATCTTGCTGATCGAAAGGTTCCTGCCGATCGAATTCTCGCAGAAAAACTTGCCGATCAAAAGGTTCTTGCCGATCAAAAGGTTCTTGCCGATCAAAATCTTGTAGAAAATCTTGCCGATCAAAAGGTTCTTGCCGATCGAAACCTTGCAGAAAATCTTGCCGATTGAAATCTTGCAGAAAATCTTGCCGATCAAAAGGTTCATACCGATCGAAATTTTGCAGAAAATCTTGCTGATGGAAAGGTTCTTACCGATCAAAATCTTGCCAATCGAAAAGTTCCTGCCGATCGAAATCTTGCAGAAAATCTTGCTGATCGAAAGGTTCCTGCCGATTGAATTCTCGCAGAAAAATTTGCCGATCAAAAGGTTCTTGCCGATCGAAACCTTGCAGAAAATCTTGCCGATTGAAATCTTGCAGAAAATCTTGCCGATCAAAAGGTTCATACCGATCGAAATTTTGCAGAAAATCTTGCTGATGGAAAGGTTCTTACCGATCAAAATCTTGCCAATCGAAAAGTTCCTGCCGATCGAAATCTTGCAGGAAATCTTGCCGATCGAAAGGTTCCTGCCAATCAAAATCTTGCAGAAAATCTTGACGATCGAAAGGTTCCTGCCGATTGAAATCTTGCAGAAAATGTTACCGATCCAAAAGGTTCTTGCCGATTGAAATCTTGCAGAAAATCTTGCAGATCGAAAGGTTCTTGCCAATCGAAATCTTGCAGAAAATCTTGCCGATCGAAATCTTGCAGAACGTCCTGACAATTGAAAGGTTCTTGCCGATTGAACTCTTGCAGAAATTTTTGCTGATTGAACTCTTGCAGAAAATCTTGCCAATTGATCGAAATCTTGCAGAAAATTGTAATGTAAATATCTGATAGGCAGGATGTACTTTCATTCACTGGACCAAATCTGGCACAAATACCCGATACGCCCAAATTTGAATACTGATGGGGTTGTGGGGGGGGGGGCGATTTGGGAGTTGTAGTTGCTGGGATTTATAGTTCACCTACAACCAAAGAGCATTCAGAACCCCACCAATGATGGAATTGAACAATACTTGGCACGCAGAACACCCATGAACAACAGAAAATACTGGAAGGGTTTGGTGGGCATCGACCTTGAGTTTGTGAGTTGTAGTTCACCTACATCCAGAGAGCACTGTGAAGGCAAACAATGATGGATCTGGACCAAACTTGGTACGAATACTCAATATGCCCAAATGTGAACACCAGTGGTGTTTGGGGAAAATAGACCTTGACAGCTATGAGTTGTAGTTGCTGAGATTTATAGTTCACCTACAATCAAAGAGCATTCTGAACTCCACCAATGATGGAATTAAATCAAATTTGGCAAACCGAACTCACATGACCAACAGAAAATACTGGAAGGGTTTGATGGGCATTGACCTTGAGTTTTGGAGTTGTAGTTCACCTACATCCAGAGAGCACTGTGGACTCAAACAGTGATGGATCTGGACCAAATTTGGCACAAATTTTCCATATGCCCAAATATGAACACAGATTGAGTTTGGGGGAAATAGACCTTGACATTTGGAAGTTATAGTTACTGGGATTTATAGTTTACCTACAATCAAAGAGCAATCTGAACCCCACCGACAGAATTGGGCCAAACTTCCCAT